AAGGCGCAATGCGCGATCAGCCCGTGCATCCCATCATGCGTTGACAGGTGCGCGACTCCGCCTACCCTATGTGCGCGCAGCTGGCTAGGCTTGCAGCGTGCGACAGATTGGGGCTTCGTGCGCTGCCTTCGACAGTGCGCGCCGCCCCCTTAGGCACCGTGAGTTGCCTTCAAGCAACGTGCGCAACCGGTTGGGCAGCGACTTACCGTGGGCTTGTGTGGCTTGTTGTCGTCACTTGGGCAATGTGTCGTTGTTGTTTGGATGGTGTGCCTCTGATTTTTATGCAAGCGTGACGTCGTGTTGCCCATCCGTTGGTCGTTACATCTCATCTTTTCACATCGACTTTTTTTCTCTTCACCAGATTTGCCATTTGGCGCAAATCTAGAGATCCCCATTTTTTAAAAATAGGGACCCTCACTTCATCATTTCCTCATCATTTCTATTTTATTCTTCCATCCACCAAAGAGTTTTAGAGAGAGATAGTGATCTAGAGAGAGAATGAAAGGAGAAGAGGAAAAAAAGGCGTAGGAAATATCAAGATTTCGATCATAAATTTAATATTTACTTTTACACATCCTAAGGAGTATTTTTAAATTAAAATTAACAAAGTTTAAATTAAACGGTTGCATGATTTAATTATATGCTTAAAATGAAATAATTTACATTGATTTCATGTTTTATAAACATATGTAAGTTGATTTCTTACATGTTTAATTTAAATGATTTAATGCTTGCGATAAATATTGATATGTGATACATTATATGATGGTAAAGCAATTAAGCATCAAATAATGCATAGACATGATAACTATGTATTGGTATTGGCATGTAAGATTCATAAAAAAATTTTTTACGCTTTTTATCTATGAGGGATTTATGTTTCTCCCCCCATCTAGTCTGAAAAGATGTGAGATGACCGCTCTCTGTGGATGACGGCGTACCCTCTGACGAGAGTGGTGACACGATATGATTTTAGGGGTCACCGTTGGTGAAGTACAGTCGTTGCCATAGTTAACATGCAGGAGCACTATGGTTGGCATAGTCGTGGTCATAGATCGTGTTATGGTTTGACAAGCCGTAAATGTGTTGTTGGTTTGGCAAGTTGCAAATTGCTGATATAATATAAAATGAATTAGTCATTCCACATGGATAATCAAAAATTCGTATTGCCCTCAGTAGATGGAAGTCGGAACGATTTTGCACGAAGAATAAAATGAAAATAGTACATATCATGATTTATTTGATTTTCTCTATTATCAGCATGATTGATTTGATTGACATGATATGACTTTGACTTGACATTTTTTTTATTAAATTAAATTATCTCAATAATTAATAAATAACCCTGACATGACTTTTGACGGTAAGAAATTATGGTATTTTTAATTACCTTTGAAATCTTATAATATTATTTAAATACTGATTTCCTTACTAAGTATATAGAACTCACCCTTTTCATGCCCTCTCCCCATATGAGGAAGATAGTGAGGAATCGATTGCTGACCTACCCCTTGAAGCCTTTGAAGATCCCGTGGA